TATATATATATATATATATAAAAGTGAAAACAGAGAGACTATTGAAATAATATAACTAATTTTCAAGTTTGATCCTTCCCGGGCTTTGAAACTTTGATTTGTTACTGTTCCATTGCAGGCTTTGAAGCATCTCATTCGCACAAAAAATATGCTCATTTATCACCCATTTCAATCTATTTTCCTCCTCATGGATGCACCCATTGATGTGTCTACTGAAGCTCAGTGGAAATAGGCCACATATGCGGGAGTTTTGGACAAAGCTACTGATACTTTACAAGATCCTGATAAGTTGGTGTTCCCCCAAGCCTTTCATGATACAGCTGCTAGCAAGGGTGCTTGCCCTTGCATCCATCCTCTTATCTCAAAAGATGTTGAACCAACCAACTTCTTTTCAGATATGGATATTGTCTCCCTCAATGAAGAAGTAAAATTCACACTTGTAGGCAAATTCCAGTTGGGACACCCCAAAATGGAACTTTTAAGAAATTTATTTGACTCACTCAAGTTCATTGGGGCCTAGAAAGTGGGGTTACTTGATCGTAGACACCTCCTAATCCAGCTCACTTTGGAAGAAGACTATGCTAGGTTGTTTTCCAAGCAATCCATTATGATTGTAGGAACCTTTATGAAAATTCTAAAATGGACCCCAGGTTTTGATCCAAGAAAGGAACCCCTGTGGTTTCTCTTTGGTTTAAATTGTCAAGCCTCCCTCTCCCTTTTTTCAACTTAAATGCTCTATTTAACATTGGCTGAGGTATAGGTACACCCCTCAAGGTGGACACCCCTACTTATAATAAAGCAAGACCTGCACTTGCTAGAATCTTGATAGAAAGGGATATTACCCTCCCAAAACTGAATAGGGTTTGCATAAAATTTGGCAAAGAAGGCTTCTAGCAGGAAATAGTGTCTAAGCAAAAACCTTACTACTGCCAACATTGTAAAATGTTTGGACGCATATTGGAGAGATGTTATAGGCTCCTCTCCCCACTTAGAAGAAATTCCAATAATATTCTTAAGGAGACTGAAGCTGTTACTGCTACACAGATCCTTCCTGTTGAGGGGCCCCCTCCAATGAATACAGCTGTTAATTCTCCCCCTGGGGACCCTTTGGGGGGCCTGAATGCCACTCCTTCCTCTTCTACCGACCCATCAGCTCTCCAAGAATGACAGTGAGGAAATAAATTAAGGAGGTGATCATAGTCACTCTTGTATCCTCTAGTCCTGACTGTGAGGATGTCGTGTGCCCCAATACTACTACTAAAAAACTATTAGAGGCTCTTGATGATAACAATATTGCTGATATGCAACAAAACTTAGAAAAGGACTGGCAAATTCAGTCAGCAAGGAAAAAGAAAAAAATAGGTGACAGAAGTGCAGGAACTCCAAAAAGGATCAGCTTCAATGATGTTAAAAGGCAAAGCTAGTGTGAAAACTGGTTGTCCCTTTAAACTCTCTAGAGGCAAAATAAGATCCAGATCATAGCCATCTCTCCACCCCCCTCCACAAAATGATTAATCTCTTATGTTGGAACATTAGGGGAGTTATTCATCCCCTTTCTCTTAAACGAATATTACATCTCAATCATAAATATAAGCTCTGTTGAATTTCCATCCTTGAACATATGGTTCATAAACATCCTTAAAAACTCATCAGGAAGTTTTCTAGCTTTTCTCGCTTTGCTAACACTAATAATAAAATTTGTATTTTCTATAGAAAGGAGATCATTTGGAACATCCAGGTGGATCATCAGCAATTTGTTCACCTCTCCTTCCTGATCAATGGACACCTGGGCTTTGCCTCCATTATTTATGCAGCTTGTAACTAGGATGACAGAAGAGAGCTTTGGTCTTATCTACATAATATTATTGAACAGATGACTTCCCCCTAACTGGTGTAGGGAGACTTCAATTGCATTACTTCCTCTGCAGAAAAATCTGGGGGCAGGTGATCTCGAGTGATATAGTTGTGTAAAAATTATATAGTTGACACCGCTATGTAACGGTGATAAAAGCTTGATGTAATATTTTATGAATTAGAAATTTGTAACGGTGCTAAAAGCTTGATGTAATATTTTATGAATTAGAAATTTAAGAATTAATGTTGGGATTCTACATAAGTATATGTATCATTATCAAGTAATAAATGACTTTCTATTTAAGCCCCAAATATCGATCCCACGGGGAAGGTTTAAATTTGAAATGAAAAATTTACTAGGAAATTCATAGAAATTCAAAATGAAATTGCCTCACTAATTTCAAATGTTGAGATATTATCAGAAATAAATTATTTAACTAATAATAAAACTGAAATACAAAGTTTAAACAGTAACTACTCAACTATTAAACTATGTTTATGTGATAAAGATTTCTTATATGAAAAAATATCTTTCCCAATATAATGAGATTTTAGTAAAATGAGATAAGATAAATGGTTTAAATATTTATTGTGCCAAATAGGAATAGTTTTAATTATCTACCCTGATTCAGTGTTATAGAAAATCATTGGTTAATCTCAGGCTTAGTCCCTAAATCCGTGGCTAGGCTAGGAGGATACTGGCTCCCATTCCGGAGCTACCACTTCCCTCCACCTGAAGGCTAACTCTCACTTTAGTTTTAAAATACTAAGACCGAATTGGGGATTTTAGTCTGTCACCCTAAAGATTCTCCAATTCTACACTCAAAAAAGAATATTTCACTATTTATTTACACTTAATTCCATGAACGAAGTTCTCCTTCATAGAATCAAATGTGATCCTCACTCTGTTGTAGAACTCATACTCCATTTCCCAGATCATATGTTTAATCGAAAAATAAATTGAGTTCGGAGTTAAAAAAATAGTCACAATTTATATTATATTTTAATATTGGCACATTAATATTATTTCTTCATTTAACCATATCTCAGAGTAGGAAGAAAGATAAAGTAAACTACTCAGACTTCATGAGAAAGATACAACTGTCCACACTATTTTTGATTGAGGAGTTGCCCGTAAGAAACTGTCGGTCACCAGAATTGAATTCTCGTAAATTCTCGTCGCCCGCTTCAGAAGGACATTTAATTTACATATAGATTTAAGTTTAGAAAAATATGAAATTAAACTGACCTCATATTTTTTATAGTTTAAACGAAAGAGCGTTGTACCTCAAACCTTGTATCTATTCCGAAGGATAATCACAAGACTTGAAGATGAGACTCAATCAAATAAATTAAGAAATATATGACGTCCGTTTGGTCTGCAAAGAAATACAAATTCCCCTATTTAATATGAAAAATTAAATAGAGTTTATTTTAAGCTGGGTTTGGAAAAGCTTCCTATAAGGGCAAGCCCC